AAAACAACAACAACCAAAAAAAAAAAAAAACAAAACAAAACAAAACCCAGCAAAGATTAAAAAGAAAAAAAAAGAGTTTAAAATAAAGCCATGTAAAGATGGAAAATACAAAGAAAGTCTGGACATTGTATGTTATTGTGTTGTCCTTGAATTGTTTGAATGCTGAGGAAGGATCAACAGCTGCTAAAAGACTTTTGATTATAAATGCTGATGTATTAATATAACATACATATTTTGAAAATGCCTTGACTTCAAAATTTAAGTCAAATGATATGTTACTTTGGAGAAAAAGTTTTGTTTTTGTTTCCACAGGAAATGAGAGGCTGTGGATTCATTATGGGTTAAGAAAAATCAGGTTTTTTAGAAAGTCCATCTGAAAAGCCTTCAGTAGGAGCAGATGGCCCAAATGTCTGAGTTCTACATAAAGAACAGATTCAAGACTGCTGGCTGACATGGTCCAGCTTCACAGAATATTCCAGTCAGGACTTGACCATATCCAAATCTTCTTTAGGTCCCCATAAGATTATCAGTGCCCCCAGTCAGCAGGAAGTAGTTTGGAAAACTACACCCCCATAGGATTATGGATGTTTGTCTTTGTTTAGAATGTTGATTATAAGTTGTTATGGATAATGATTTGGGAAAAAAGCTAAACAAAGGAGATTAGATTCAGAGTTCTTGTTTTAGAAAAAAAGGGGAGGGTGCTGTGACACAATGGTCTTGTACCCTGTAAAGATTTCTCAGTTGTATTGCATCAATAAAATGCTGATTGGACAGTAGTCAGACAGGAAATATAGAAGGGGCAATAAGAACAAGAGAATTCTGGGAAAAGGAAAGGCACAGTCTGCAGTCATCACCCAGATCTAGAGGAAGCAAGATGAGAAATCCTCACTGATAAAAGGTACCAAGTCATGTGCCTAACATAGACAAGAATTTTGGGCTAATTTAAGATGTAAGAGTTAATAAAAATAGAAGGGCAGGGACCTCACTGAGCATCAGCAACTCAGAGCTGTTGAATCGGTCTGAGATGGCAGAGGTGGAGGAAACACTCAAGAGACTTCAGAGCTAGAAAGGAGTGCAGGGAATCATCGTGGTGAACACTGAAGGCATTCTCATCAGAAGCACCATAGAGAAAACCACTGCTACACAATATGCCAACCTCATGCACAACTTTATCTCGAAGGCACGGAGCACTGTGTGTGAAATTGACCCCCAGAATGACCTTACTTTCCTTCGAATTTGTTCCGAGAAAAATGAAACTATGGTTGCACCAGATAAAGACCATTTCCTGATTGTGATTTAGGATCCACCATCTCAGCTTCCTATGTCATTCCTTAATTTAATGTCCCCAAGCGTAAGTGTTAATCATGTCAGTGGGTACATGGTGGTTGCCTGAGAGCCCATCTAGACCATGACATTGATCAAGGATAGCTCTGCCCACCCCAACAAGGAATGTCTCTGGCATCCAGTCAGTTCCTGGGAGAGCTTGGATCTCATTTCCAAGCTTCAGAGTAAGAGCTTATGATAAGCCCACACCCAGCTTCCTTCTGACCTTTGTCACCTTTAGAAACCCTGCTTTTTTCTTTTACTAAAAACAACTTCAAAACCTGAAAAAAGAGTTATTAAGAAGCCTGAGCTAATAGGCCAAGCAGTTTATAATTAATGTAGATT